TCTAAAATTGATTTTTGAAAAAAACTCTTAAATCTTAATTTTTTTAAAAACAAATTTTATTTTTAAAATCCTAATTTAATGACGCTTTTTTTGATACCCAGATTGACCAAATTGTAAACAAAAATTTTTTGGAAATATTAGTGGGCAAATAAATTTTCCGAGAAAAAGTTACCGAGCTTAAAAGATTTATTTTTCAAAATTTTTTTAAGTTTTAAATACTATGCTGCCAACTTTAGGCTGTCAATAAGTAGGGGAGAGTGAAAAGAAGTGGCAGAGCCTGTCAATGAGGACTAACTAGCTTTGTTTACATTGCACAATGGGGCCTAACAAAGGAAAAAGTGGCCAAAATTTATAAAAATCAAGTTTTAATTTTTTTTAAACTTTAAATGCCATATTATATATTATTTGTAGCTGCATCTAAAACCGATTAGTTTGAATTTTGAAAAAAGTAAATATTAGACTCAAACTAATGCTGATAGAAATTTGTGTTAAAATTCCTATTTTGAGTTTATTCTAATTACTTTGTAACTGCTGTTTTAAGCATATTAATTTATATATCGCTGTAAAGATAGTGAAAAAGTCTCTCAATATATGCAATAAAATTATTTTAATTTCATTTATATTCAATAACAATGTATATATTGATAGTGCTTTTAGTTTGTTTATAACTTAAAAGCTAGAGATATAATTTCGCTGTTTAAGGCCGGTGGAAATCTAACTTGCAAAAAATACCTAAAACTTAATTCAATCAAATTTGATATAAACTTAGTCTGTCTTATACTGTTTAAAAATGAATATTAAGTATAGTAACGTTGTTTCAATTATAAAACAAAATGATGAACATTATCTAGCTATAGAAAAATGTATTTTGTATTGTGAAGAAAAACTTAAAAGAGACCTATGGCAAGTAGAAAAACATGTTGTAACACAGAAAAATATGTTGTAACACATACGCTTGTTCTTTAAAAGATATGAATAAGCTAGTAAATTTTACACAAGGAGTATTTAATATTAACCCAGTAGCTCTACAATATGGTTTATGCATTCTTCACATGCATATACGCTGTTTCAAAACAATGTTACACATTTCTTATAAATTAGTTTTACCTGAAAAAAAAACATTAGAAGATCTTGTTTGAAATTTTTGACATCAATTTGGAGCTTATTCAAAGGTTAAGAGTACTTTTGTTGTGTATTTCTTATCGATTTCCAATTGACTCAAATTTAATGATTATTGCTTCTCAACAGCATCTCTGTATGTTAAATTATATAGAAAGAATCGACTCCAACATTACATAAACTTTTGATATGGCTCACAAATTATATTAATTGTTCCTGTTGGAAAATAAGATGATGTAATGATTTTTTATAATAAAAAAAAGCAAACGCGGTGCAGTGATTATAGTGTTGAACTCTTTACCCAAGGGGTTGGCAGTTCGAATTTTACTCAAAGAACATAATCGTTGTCAATTAAGATGGAAAAGAGAGTACCAACTAAGATGGAAAAGAACTGGAACCAACTCATTAAATAAGATGGAAAAGAACTGGAACTAACTCATTAAATAAGATGGAAAAGAACTGGAACCAACTCATTAAATAAGATGGAAAAGAACTGGAACCAACTCATTAAATGCTGTATGATAAGATCATTAGGTCTTCTTAAAGTTTTAATAAAATAAAATACGGTAGAAATAAAAATCACTTTTATTTAAATATATATATATAAAAGATCTATAAACATGAATAAAATTGAACGAAATATATAGTACATTAACTTTTCTCCATTATTTGCTTGCAACATAGATAGCAGCACAAGTTTTTATCATTTGTAGAAAATATTTTATTCATATTTTTTTATTTTATTTTACACTTTATTTTGAAAATTTGGGAAAAGTTGAGGGGAGGGAGGGGATGCTCAGCTCTCCATTTCCCACCACTTCCTTCTGTCACTGCGATCCCTTATATAAAAATGCATTAAGTTTTATATAATTTTCCGGAAGTTTTGATATAAACTATATAAATTTTGAAATAAATTTTGTAAAAAAAAAAAATAACTGAACAATTTATTGCTAGAAAAATGCTTATCAGACTCTATTTTTTAAAAAAAGTCATAATTCTTTCAAAAATCATTTAATTATTTTTTCATTCAATTTAGAATACTCTTTTGTAACTGTGCAAAATTTCAAATCGATATGCTTTTTTTTTGAATTTTGGCCAATTATCCTTTGTAAGGCCCCATTGTGGATTGAGAAAATTAACTAAATAGCAGCTCGTTGACACATTAGCTGTGTGTCAACGTGTGTCACAATGATGTAAGGGATGCGAAGTTGAAATATTATCCTGCAAATATAACAGTGGGGGACTATTCAGCTTTAGTTCCTTTAAATAAATTAATGATTCATACTTTGGAAAGAATCTGTGCAGTTCATAAACCTGTGTTGAGGCATTTGATATTGAACGACAAAGCAATAAAAACAATAACACACACGTGTAAGGCTGGTTTTGATGGCGCTAATGGCTAAGGCATTTATAAACAAGTTTTTTTTGAACCTGACATGAACAGAAATTTAAAATGTGAAGATTCGTTATTTTTTACTTGTCTAGTTCCATTGGATTAAACTGGATTTAAAAACAGCAATTAAAAGGTGCCTATTTAGATAAATCAAAATTCATCTTTCACAGCCTATTGTAGACACTTAAAATTTGCATAAAAAACGGAATCCAAAAAATCTGTGCTTGAAGAAGATCAGTAAATTAAAAATGAGATAGAAAGCTTGGGTATGATTTTATTAAATGTTTGTGGATCTTTTATTGAAGTAAATTGAGTTATTGAAGTTACAATGATTGATGAGAAAGTTAAAACAATATTATCTGGAAAAACGAACTCATACCAATGCTGTTCAGTCTATGGTGTCTCTCCAAATATATGAATAGTCTTGATATCCTTAATATAAAATATACTCTGTGAGTATTCAAATATGGTCTTCCCAGTCTTTATGCATAAATTCAATTTTTTGAGATGATTTTGCACATTGCATATAAAAAAAGAAACAAGAAAGTGGCAAGCAAGATCTAAAGAACACAATGAAAAGGTATCTGTAACCGAACAAAAGATCGGACTGATTTTATGAACAATATTGGACTTGTTGCTGTTTTACCTAAAAGTGGTGGTGTTGGATCAAGCAACGATGGCAATACTTCAAGGTGTGCTTTGAGCATATGAGCAAACAACTGAAATTCTGGGTATTGATCAAAACCCTATATTCATATTTTACATTGTCTTGGTAACACCCTCTTCAGAATATGAAATAGACAGCTTAAAATTCAAGAGTTATTGTTTTGACACTGTTAGGCTATATCGCGACGTTAGAATTATCTTGTGCTATCTCCATGTTTTTGCAAACTGAAAAAATCGATGTCAAAGTTTGAATTTGTTCGCAGCTAAATTGAAAAAATATTTTGAGAATTTAGGTATTTCCTAAGATTTAAAAATGTTTTATTATTAATTTTTAGATAAAAAAAACTTTTTAAAATTACGCTAACGCCCTTTTTTTCGCACCCTCTTTTGGAGATAGAACAAAATAACTTTGGTTTTTAGTAAAATTCAAAAATATTATGTTGTTACATCATATATATTAAACATATTAAGTACATTTTTCAACAACGACATGTTAGAAATTGATGAAATTTTGTTCTAGCTGCTAATTATTCTTACGCAGTACCATACACTCCTAATTTATGGGCATGGGCCCCTAAATTAGGGGCATGAGCCCCTAATTTAACGGGACCCTTTTCAAAATATAAGACGCTTTTTGTATTACCTAAAAAATTAAGTTTTTTTAAATAAAATGAGGCCCTAATTAGGAGAACTTTTAGAAGAGCCTCTAACGACACTGTTCTTACGACTTGCATTTACTTTAATTACCTGTAGGCGCCGGCCCTGGACAAGACTAAGACGTCTAATTTAAAACGGAAAATTTGGCTGCGTAATAATAATATAAACGTATTAATACAATATAAACGTATAAAATAAATTATGAAAGGTATATAGGAAAGAGTTATGTTAAAAAAAATGTAATAATAAAAGAAATAACATTATGTTATGTAACTATCTGATAATTCACAACAATTCAACTAATCTAATCACAAACTCCATGCAAGATGAACTTGATTTTATTTTTTTTATGCCTGTGTATCCATTAATAGAGTTTAACTTTTTATTAAAAGTTATTGCAAATATTTACAAATAAAAAATTGTTACTAAAATTAACGTCAGGAAGGGCATCAGGTTGTGAAACATTGCTTTAACTCTTTCATAGTGGCCTTTATGTCACTATGGAAAACCATCCAAACCAAACAAGTTGGGGAAAATGAATACAAAAGTACAAAAAAACAAACAAAAAAAACACAAGCTAAACAAAAATTTTTATCAAGATTTCAAAATAATATTATTTCAATGTGTTTTATATTTATATTTATACTAAATAAATATTTTATTTAAATATGTTATTTATATGTATATTATTTATATTATTATATATATAAATATGTTATTTATATTTATACTAAACATATAACAAGCCTAAAAATATTTTGACTTTATTAATGTTTTGTAAATGTTCAATTTATTATTGTTTTATAAAATGCAATATCAACAGCAGGCATGTATGAATACATGGAAATGATATCATTGGCTTTTGCAACAGATATAGACTGATAAGAAGCACGAAAGCAAGCTGCCATTGGTATATTGGTATTTAATGGTTTTGCAACGATGGTTGATGCTGCTTTCTTGACAGACTTATTTATACGAGCTTGTGAATAATTATCTGAAAACGAGGTTTTAAAAAAAACATGGTATGGCAGTCCGTTTCGATAAACAAGATTTTTAACCTTTGAATAAGGCACTAACTTATAACTTGACAAACCAGCGACAACTGAAAAATTCTTTACATCTCCTAATTGCATTTGGTAAACACAGGTTTTTTACGGTTTACGGTTTTAAGGTTTTTTACGGTTTTAAGGTTTTTTACGGTTTACATTTTTAATAGCTCTTTCTAGCCCAAGTGGACTAAATATTTCTGCAGCAGAGAGGGATTTTTCAATCTGACTATGAATGTTGTCACATTCTTGAATGCTGGAATGACCTGGCTCGCAGAACTTCTGTTCAATTACTTTTATTTGTGGGTATCGTATTATAAATTCACACAAAGCTGCTGACATGAAACTATTGCGGTTTTGTGGTACACATGAATCGAACCAAAGTATGAACTTATTTATGTCAAGGTCAGCCATGATTTTCAAAAGCAAACATGTTACAGCACTGGCTAGATCATTTCCTCCACGACCAGTCATGGCTTCGTGCCAAAGGATGCAATAACCCTTCCTGTTAAGCGAGCAATGACCAGTTAAGTTATAATTTGAAAGTTTTCGTTTGTAATAAAAGTTTCCCACATTAGCTCTAGGCAAATTTAAAACATTTTCAAGGTCAATACAAACAATTGCAGTTTTAGAATCAACATTTTGGCGATCATTTTCACGTTCAGTTTTGGTATCATTCCTTGATTTTATGTGCTTATTATAACTATCTGTTTGTTCATTGCTTGCATTAACAATGTTGCGATACTCATAGCATGTGTCACATAAATCTTTCTTCGGTTTTTGAAATTCTATATTGAACTCGTGATTAAAGATATAACGATATATATGTTCTTTTGCTGGAGGAGAGACATTTTCATCACAATATATTTTATAAAGATCATACATTCTACCTATATTTAGTGATCCTTCCATGTATTCTTTATGTGTCTTTTTCCTGCTATAATGAGCATCAATTCTTGGGAAAAGGTTAATACGGTCTCGTACAACTTGTTTAGACTCTTCTAGTAACCTTTTTTTAACATGTTTCCCTGATTTTGATTGCAATGGTGTTCCAGTAGTTAAAGATTTATTAAACTTATGAAAGTAAAACACTCTATGGCTGCTAATATTCAATGTTGAAAGATAATATGATTTACAAACTCTATATTGTGTATTAGAAACAAAAAAGCTATAATAATAAGATGTTTTTCTTCTTGAATTGTCACCAGCAGCTGTCCGACAGCGTTTTTTCTCCAGATTTTCAGTAGTTTTAGAATAGAAATGTTTTTTTTCGTCATCATCTAAGGTCCAAAAGTTATCAAATATTATTTGACGCTCAATCTCAGATATATTGGTAGAACATTTAAATTTACAATTTCTGCAACTTTTTAGTGCAACAATAGATCTTTTTGGCATTTGTTCTCCTTTTGTATTTTTATAAGCTTTACCCGACTGACTTTGGATTTTTCTTACACTTTGTTTCCAACTACTCCTATCAGCTTTACGTTTCCTAGAAACCCCACCATGGGGCGACCGACGAGAAGGTGTAATGCCAAGCAGCTCTAACGATTAAAATATTAATTTTTTATTATCCAGGATGTATAAATAATAACTTTTAAATTTAATCTAAAATGGCACAAGCGAAAGTCGAATTCTACTTTTCCAAAATTATAATACAAATTAAGTTGAAAAACTACCTTCGTTTTGATTTAGGGCAGGTTCCATTTCTTGGTCAATATTTGCAGCTGCCATTTTGAAAACAACAAAACTGATAAAATTATTCCGAACAACTTTGTAATTGTAATATGATTGGTTGATATTTTCAAGTTTGCTCATTAAGGAGATAGAACAATGCAATATTGCATGCAATACCGTGTTAAAAGTTTCATTTTTTTTCAATATAATTAAAGTAGAACAACACAATGCTAAAATATTCGAAAATAATAAAATTTCAATTTTTTCAAAAATTGGAGATAGCACAAGATAATTCTAACGTCGCGATATGTGTCCCTTTATTCATGGTATTGCATGGCTCAAACGGTGCACAAAGTATTGATACATGGAAATGACATAATTCAAAACCTTATATTACTCATAGGACTTATGCCAGAGGAAGCTCAAGAAGCTAGAAAAAAAGACTTCAAATCTTATAGCAAAAATTTCATCCAGAAAAGCAACAAATACTGACCTGATCAACAGACTCCTAGTTTTCAGTAATCCTGTTATTTCATCACTGCGTAAATCAACACCAAACCGAACAAATCATAAAATATTTCCTTAAGATGTTTTACAATTACTTAACAATCTTTAAACGATATTATTGTTCTATAAATTGACAATATTTTCTTGTATTATTTTTTGTTTTAGTTATTGCCAAAAAATTACCTAAATTTTTAATAGTGATTCAAAACAAGTGGGTCGAAATCCCGTCAAAATTTATTCAAAAATCAATTTACCTCTATGTAACTAAGGAAATTATCTTAGCAATATAACTGAGAAACTAATTAATATAATTCATAGCAACTAAATTTGAAAAAGTATCACTTTTATAAGAAGCACTCATGCTAAATTTAACATATTGGCACTCATGCTAAATTTAGCGAATATAACACTCATAAATTATCTGCAAATACCAAAAATAGGTTGTTGCTAAGCAAAATAAAGATATCCATGGTAACAAAATAAAAAATAACCCCTTTATAGGAAGGGCAGACATCATATACTCGTGCTAATTTTAGTGAATATAACCCTAATACTAATTTAGTTATGAATTTTGTCCAGTAAAAGTGAATTCTGGCCCAATTTGCAGTAATACAGGTTAACAAACAATATTTGTTCATAATTAAATGCTTGCTTAATAAAGCGCGATTAAAGTTTTCATTTTTGTGAAGTGTAACTCCAATTTAAAAATGATTGGTCAGTCAAAATAATTGTAAAACTTTTTAGTTATAAATAATTTATTGCAATAAAAGTTAGAGCAAAAAGTTAATGAAGCAACTATAGTTACAAAATGTTCGTAAAAATGATGCGGTGTATGTCTAAAATAGGTTTCCACGAAGTGATTAAGAAAATATTCCAAAGAGTTCAACTTGATTCGCTTTAATCTTGATTACACTACTTGATTACTTGATTACTCAGGTGTTTCTATTTCCTTTTTAACAATTTCATTCATTTTTTTAACAACTGTCGCATCATCAAAATAAAGAAGGTTCATACAATTGATAAACTTGTTAAGCGTTTCATCAACTTCAGCATCAAATTCATCTTCATTCAATAAATAATCGTATTTTAAAAATTTCTCATCAAGCTGAATATTATTTGAATCGAAATCATAAAACATGTTGTTTACCACTAAACATAAGAAACATTATATATAAAATGTCGCTTTATGTTACATACAACAGTAGTTATATGTAACATAAAAATATATATAGCATATTTATTAGAATTAAATTATCTGTGTATAAAGATTATCTGCAAATAAAGATTATTCGTGATCTTTACCCTAGAGATTATATGTCTATAAAGGACATAGGGTAGAAACGGGCATATCGGGACAGTGAGGCATAACGGGACAGTTATGCCTGAAGCTTTATATCTCAGCTAAAAAAAACTTTCCTAAAACTTTTTTTGATAAAACATTTTAAAATTACTGTGCTTCATTATTGTAAAAAAAAAAACTATTTTTATAAATACCAAAATGCATTAATAGTACCAAAACGCATCAGAAAGTTTGCAAAAAACAAAATTTGCGTATTCTCTTAAGCGATACAACGACAAGAAATTTATCTTGAACTATTGCTAATTTCCTTTGTTTATAAAAGGTTTAAACTTTTCAGACACTATTTTTTTATCCTCTTTTAGAATCTGGTTTAAAAAAATATCTGGAATTGAACTTTTTGAATAGTTTTAATTTCAGTAAAATGACTTTTGTGGGGCATATCGGGACAAGTTTTTTATATAATTGATTATATTACTACCATTTTGTTCACAGTTTGATAATTTTATTTTGCATTTAAATGATAAAATGCCTTGCTTTAATCATTTAAATGCTTTATAATTAACGAATAACTGCTGCTTTTTAACCGTCCCGCTTTGCCCCACCCATTTGCAAAATGTAGAAATTACGCTTGTCTAGAGTTTCGTTACCTTGGTTGTCATAACTTATTTTTAGAATTTTTTTTTGTTTGTTTTTTTAGTTTTCTTATATCAATGAATTTTAGGAAACTTATACAAAATAGTGTTAACAGTGATTAGTTTATCCGCCACTAGCATTTGTTTCTTAAGTGTCCCTATATACCCCTGCTCTAACCTACAAAAATACATATATGCATACATTTATTTTTATATACTAGTTCTTATAGATAAAGTTGTCTTTAGAAAGTTAACAAGTGAACCAAGAGTATATTGATTACTATACCGTCGAGTCTACATAATGAAACAGCAACAAAAAATTTAGTTATTTATTGTAACGAAAAAAAGTTAACCACTTTTGATTAAAATGCAGCTTCAAAATCAAATTATGTGCATAAATGTGGCATGAGTCAAATCGTAACGTCAATATTGTGTAAAAGGTTATACGGCAAACATTTTTATAACACATAATAAAGAGACACCACTTTAGTATATGTTTTATTAAATAATTTAAAGTTAAAATTATTTTGTCACGCCAATAAAATCAGTAAAATTTTACTTTTTTATTTTGTTTGTTTGCTCAAATTATATTTGAGCCGTTTATTTTGAAAGTGGCATAAGTTACTTATTCAAAAAATCAAGTTATCGATAACAATGATTAAAATGTAAGGTATCTCTCCATTTTTGAAATAATTTAAACCAATTTTGTTGAAAATTATTGAAATATTTTGGAAAAAAGTATACTAGTTAACATGTTAATAAGTGTTAAAACACAAACCTTTAAAAATCTCTGTTTAAAAACAAACTGACTTCTTCCACTTTCAAAATAAACGGCCCATTATGTGTTACTACTTATTAAATAGTACAATTTTATTATTATTACTATTATTATTGTTGTTGATATTATTATTATTATTATCATAATTGTTATTATTGTATAACTTTTGCTATATGATGTGTTATTATTGTTTAAATAATTCTTTTGTTTTATTATAATTATTTATTGCAATGCAATGCCTCTCTTTTTTATATAAAAAAAAATTAAAATGTTACCTTCTTTAAATTCAGCATCAAACCGTTTCTTGTTCAACTTGGGCTTCGTTGTGGAAGGTACTGACAAAGGATTATTAATTTCAGACTTGGAAACTATATTTTGATTATTCAGCTCTGTTTTATTTAACGAACGCCACCCAAGCCAATCTTAAATGTAACAAAAAAAATTAAACTTGGTATAAAAAACAGAAAAACTAGGCTAATGAAGTCGTTTTATAGAAGCCCTAATAAGCTAATGAAGCTAATGAAGTCGTTTTATAAGAACCTATGTTTTCCCTATTATAGCATTTAAACTTGATTAACTGATTTCAAATAAAAAATTTCTGGGGTTGTCTTTTATTATAAAAAATATGGTAAAAAGTTGCTTATCAATTTATTTATAGAATAGACAAAATAAAAATAAAAAGGTATTAAAAAACAACCTTTAAAATGTTCCATTATAAAATCTACCATCTCATAATCATTATCCTGGTACTCGAGATTTGCACGAACAACTGCAAAAACATCGTTTAGAATGGATATGAACATATTCATAATGATCCAATTTACCATAACATTAAAGCCAAAAAAGAAAATTGGACCAAGAACAGCGTTAGCATTTTCAAATTGACTATAACTAAATTTTCCTAACAATAATGAAATAATGGATGCAATTGTTTTAAAGTAAGTTTGATACCCATCCAGCAACATCCCTAAAAAATACATTTTTAGAAACATTGTAATTATTAAAAAAAAACGTTTTACTCTTACATTTACTTTTAAAAATTTTAATTAGTCATTTAATAGAGCTTTAATCAATTTAAGTATTTTTTTAAAGTGAAAAAATGTTACCAATACGATAGAAAGCTAATTAAGTATCAAGACAAAACATTTATTTTTTATGAATTAAATTTTAAAAACTAATTCATTTATAAAACTAAAAAGTTTAACGGAGCAATGAGATAAAACTAAAATTATGAATAATACTAATCACTCAACAACAAAGATAATTTATAAATTTCAATGACTTTTAAAATTAATGTTAAAAGTTAACGACTTCAAATTAACGTTAAAAGTTAACAACTTAAAATTAATGTCAAAAGTTAGTGAAAGTTATAAACTATCTTGGGTACTAAATTAGTATAAATAATAAATAGTATAAATAATAATACCACATAAAAGTATAATACCACAATTAGTTATGACCTGCACTATTTTGTCACGTCAAAAAATATCATAAAAAAAATAACAATAATAAAATGTTATTTTGTACTACTCTTAAAAAGTCTACACAAGCCAACTTTAAAAAGTTTACACAAGTCACATGTAAAAAGTTTACACATGCCACCTGATTATTGCAGCCAAACGATTACACATGGTTTATAAATTTAAACACATTTATAATAAAGTTCTTGCAAAAAACGCTTTTATTTATACACACAACTCTCGCATCTAAACAATTAAATAATTCTTAACTTTAAATTAATTTAATTTTAATAACTTCGTGAACTCTTACCTTAACTTTGTTAGCCATAAGTTCTTAGCTTAGCTTTGTTAGCCATGAGTTCCTAGCTTAGCTTTGTTAGTCATGAGTTCTTAACTTAGCTTTGTTAGTTCTGAGTTCTTAGTATAGCTTTGTTAGTCATAAGTTCTTTGCTTAGCTATGTTAATAATATTTTTCTTGGTTATATCTTGTCATTACATAAATTTTTTTAATATTTGAAAAACAGTTTTTTTCAATTACAACTCGTGAAAATTGCATGTGTTTGGTTTTTTTTAATATTGTTATAACTAAAAATCAGCGTTTGATTCCTTTGATTATGGATCAGTTAATTCAGATAAATAGATCAGTTAAATCAAAATTTTTAAGTTTAATTAGTTTTTTGGATTATCTTTTTTTAAAAACATGCATGTAATTGAAATACAGACTAGTTAGGCAGGTGGTAAATTAATCTTTAATTTTCAAAATTCAAGATTAAAAAAAAAGATTGGTTAGACTTATTTTGATAATTCATAAAAACTTTTATTTTTTTAATTAAAAAAATTTTTTTTTTAACTTTTTAAAAAAGTTTTCAATTAGTTTTAAAATAAAATTTTATGAAAACTTTAAAAACCAGAATTAAAGATTGGAACCAAATTTAAATTTAGAAAAATAATGTATAAAAAATTACAGCTTTTAATTCAAACTAAATTTTACCAAATACAATGCTAGAAGAAGATACAACTGAACACAGAATGATGAAAAATATGATTCCAAACATTGATAAAGGATACCATGCAGCTTTTAAAGTTGAAGATAGCATTGAAACACGCCGATTGAATCGTAAGAGTTTAATGAATTTCAAAGTCACAAAAAAAACAATAAGTGACACAATGTAAACATATGTTAAATCCCAGTATGAAGCGAACTGAAAATTGATAAATGACTGTGGTTTCTTAGCTGGCATTCGTTGTAATAACACCTTGGCCAGATGATCTTGTTTTCAGAAAGAAAAACAAATAAATAAAACATTTTACATGTAATAAGTAATAGTAAATAGCAATAAAGGAATAAACAAAATGAATGAATGAAAGAATGAATGAAAGGTGAAAACATTAAAAAATACCTTTAAAAAAGAAAAACCCAACTGCTACAACTGATAACAGTATTAATGCAACCTCCACTAAGTTCCAAAACTCAAGAAAGTATCTCCAACCAGTTCGATATAAAAAACGACACTCACGAATAGAAAATACCAGCATCATTAGAATAAACAATATTTGTGAACCCAACATAGCAACACCAGTTCCTTTCGTTGAAGCATACAACTTAAAAGTAAGAACTGAGAAGTTAGGAATAGCTCCACCAGAAGCAGGGAACTCCAGGACCATAGTAACCATGTTAAAATAATTAGTAGCAGGATTAAACAAAGCAAACTCAATTATTAAAGCTCTAGTTTGTCTATCAATCCATCGTAGTCTTTTCGCTTCATCCAGTATATCCTGGTTTCTCCATTTTGGAAAAATTTCTATAACATAACCTCCACCATAGTAAGTGTCTAAATCAGCTGCATATGGATACCCATCAAGTTTATTCCAAGTTTGATACCGCCAAGGCATTGTTGATGGATTGATAGCTGACTTATATTGTTTTGGAAGTGTCCAATTAAAATCAAAATCTCGAGTTTCTTCAACTGTTGGATTATATGGAGATAAACAGTTCAGTTTTATAAAATCAACAAGAAATAGAGCTTTGATGCAGGAATCTATCAAATATTATGAAAATAAACAAATAAACTTTTTACTTCACTTTTTTTAACCAAATAAGTTAAGCTTTTGTGTTTTAGATATTAAACCAAGCAATCATTAATGATGATAATGATGATGATGATAATAATGATGATAATGATAATCCTGAATTTAATTACATAACTGTGATAATAAAAATTACATAACGGTGATAATAAAAATTACATAAGTTTTAAGTAACTTTTTTTAAGAAAATTCTTACGTGGTTGCACACGAATTTGACGAATTCGTATTCCATTTACAATTTTTGAGGTGAGATCATTTAAAAACAGTTTTCCAGGAAAATCTTTCTTATCTGTATTTGCATAGAAATCACTCAAATTATACCAAGGTTGAGGATAAACTTGTGGGAGGAAAAAATTCTCCATCCATGGCCAGAAATCTTGTGAGGTCTGAATCTAAATAGAAAGTTTTATTTTTTAATGGATTTTAAAGGAAAGTCTAAAAATATATAAAGAACAAATAAAAAGCACTTATTGCAGTAAAGAGAAACGTTCTTGTTAATATTATTACTAATTTCATTGCAGTTATTATGATTAATTTTATAACAACCATTATCATTAACTTTATTACAATTAGTTATTTTCATTGTTCCACTTCTTTTCCTGTTTGTCTATATATATACTTGTGTCTATATATATATATATATATATATATATATATATATATATATATATATATATATATATATATATATATATATATATATATATATATATATATATATATATATACATATATATATAAATATATAAATATATAAATATATATATATATATATATATACATATATATAAATATATAAATATATATATATATATAAATATATATATATATATATATATATATATATATATATATATATATATATATATATATATATATATATATATATATATATATATATATATATATATATATTAGGGATAGAAATCTTGGGAATCCCGTACAAATTGTTCATCCTGAAATCCTGGGATTAATCTCTGAAATTTCCGGGGATTTCGGGATTGTCATAAAAAAAGCAAAAGTACAAAAAGTTTAAGCTTAATTTGTAATTAAAAAATGTGTACATTATAAAATGTACACATTTATGTATTTTCAATAAAATGTGCCTTCTGCATTTTATTGAAAATACAAACTAAAAACATTAATGATTTTCTGCAAAATATGTAGGATAAAACATATAAAAAATGTTTATATAGTATAATATTAAAACTAATATATTATTAAAAATAAATAAAATTTTAGCGCTTGCTGATGGGAACATCAAACATTTTTTATAGAAGGAAAACCTTAATTTTATTTTGAATTTTCTTATTCATTCTAATTTCAATGTGAGAGTGGTTTTAATTCCACTTTTATGTCAACTCAATGTAATTACAAATGTGTGTATGATTTACTAAAGTTTTTTCAACATCGCTTTAATTAATAAAGTTATCAAAACACAGAAGGTTTATTAAATTACAAAAGTTTACTTAATGTCCATTTAATTAATGAAGTTATCCAAATACATAAGGTTTATTAAACAAACTTTAGTTATTGTTATTTAATATAGAAATTATTTTATGACGAGAAAGATTATATTCAAGATTTAAATGATTCATTGTTAATTAATGAAACATCTGAAGTTAAAATTAAGCACCAAATTATTGGACCCGTTATAAAAAAATTCAGGAAAATTGTAAAAATCTTTAAAAAGTCCTCAAACAGAAATGAAAATTATTTACAAAAGTACATAAAAGTTGAATTTGGAAAGGCCATCCATTTAATCTTGGGTTGCAAAACTTGATGGAGTTTTTATTATGCATTTATTCATAATAAAAACCTTATAGGATTTTGCGAGTTTTTCATCCATATTCATGCATGTTCATATTATTTTTATTTAAACTAAATAAAAATAATATGAACATGCATAGTTAAAATAATATGAACATGCAAAGCCGATAATCTAAATAAATAAGAGTTATTACATAACAAACCTGGTTAAAAACTGTTCCATCTGGATACGATACACCTGGCCTTAACTGCAAGTTGAAAAGTTCTTCCACATTACGAGTTTGGTAAAAAGCAACATTCTCACGTGTCATATAGCCAATGAAAAACACCAAAAGTGCATAAAAAGTATACAAAACAATTTCTTGCGTTATTGCATACATCTTCATATTCTTAAATCCTGTCTCTCTCATCTTTACTAACAAAGTAGAATCAGGAGGTTGTAGGTCAATATTAATTCGTTCGAAAATTGTTGGTTGATCTTTTGGTTTGTGGAGCCAACTTTCATCATGAGCTAACATTTTGCCTAAAAAGTTAATAAACAATTACAAGGAAACAGAAAAAAATAGTCTTTAGCAGGAGTTATAAAATTGATCTCATTTTTCTGTTAGCAATTATTTACTTATAAATTATCTGCAACAAAAGAATATTTTATTAAAAATGAAAATTTATTCCCCTTATTAATTATAAAACATATCTAAAACTATTAATATTGAAAGCTAAAATTTATTCTGTATTTTAATTAATAACAATTTGGTACTATTTTAAAAAAGAAATGTTTTATTTTTTATATTATATATGCTGTACATGTGATAAATTTCATAAGATGGTACATTTACATCAGGTATCTTAATGTAAGATAACACACAGTGTGCATCATTTTAAAAAGAATATTAAAAAGAGGAAGGAGTCAAAATTACCATCATTAAAATAATTAAATCAAATTAGATACAAAATTAACTAACTGACGAAATTGTTAACTTGAAATATTTGTTAACTTACAAAATGCAACCATTACTTAAAAATATACTTAAATGTAGTTGGCAGCAACAAATGAAAAATTAATTTAATTAATATTACCTTGCTTTTCCAATTCACATGTTTCTTCATCAATATTTTTTGCAACAAGAGCCACAAAAATTGACAAAAAGAAAATTTTTATTGGTTGAATAAATAATATGTCCTGAAACTATAAAAAAAGAAAAGAAAAAAGAGTAAATCAATTTGTTAAATAAATCATAAACAAGTCCAAATATTAGATTATAAAACAATATTTAATATGATGAAACTCAAAAACGTGTTGTCAACAACTCAAAAATGTGTTTTTTGTAAACTGAGTACTTTATGCTAAAATTTTTCTTCTTTTTTTATTTATATCTTATATATAAATAGAAAATAAAGAGCAAAAAATAATTTTGCAAAAAATAATTTACTGTCAATTAATTAGTATTAAATAATCAACAAATATTTTTTTTTTTAATTAATATTTTAAATTAATATCTAAAATATTTAAACTAAAATTAGTATTTTAAAATATTTTCCATAACAAATTATTTATTATATACATGTATGTATATATATATATATATATATATATATATATATATATATATATATATATATATATATATATATATATATATATATATATATATATATATATATACATACATACAGTGGTAGGATTCAGCCGGTTTGCATTGTTTTTGTAGAACTGCTTCCTTAAAGGTTTTGTAGTTTGCCCAACCAGTTGTTAAATGATACTTGTAGTAATAATCAGATTCATCTTTGCGAAAGAAAGCGTATTTTCATTCCTATACATTCATTATGTGACGTGCAATAATTATTTGATTAAATTAAATTACTTTTGTTTGAATTTGGTTTTGAGTGTGAAAAAAAGTTTACTAGTTCTTTTGGCAGGGGCACCAAAAAACTAGTCCTTAAACTATTTGAATCCTACTACTGTGTATATATATATACATATATATATATATATATATATATATATATATATATATATATATATATATATATATATATATATATATATATATATATATATATATATATATATATACATATATATAAATTTAAAAAAAATCAAATAATAAGAATTCTCTCTATGCTATATATATTTTATTTCATTTCAAACATTTGTTGGATTTGCAAACTTTTACCTGACTCTTTGTTTACGATAATTATCAGCGAATAATATAACATTAATTTATGACAGTTTAATTACACAAGAAAATATTAAATTATAAAATCAGTGTTCATATGCCTTCTTTTACATAAACATTCTAAATAATTCTAAGTTTGCTATCACTGTTATCTAAATGCTATTGATCTAAATGCTATTGATCTTAAATTATTACTTTTGTATTTTAAAGTCTCTTTAGATTGCCATAAATTTTTTTTTATTTCTACTTAAAGTTTTCTTGTTCAATTAACTTCTTTAAATTATTTTTTTGTCTTGTCCTCTCAACATCTTTACAACAATCTTTTTGAAAAGCCATGGTGATACTTTTAGGTATATACAATTTTTCTTACAAAATTTAACTTAAAATTTTTGTTGTTAAACCAGTCTTCTCCGTTTGAAATTTACTGCAGGCACACGAAAAAGTGCTCACAGGACAGTAATTATTTGTCTGGCGTGCGCGATTTGTTTTTTGTAGCTCTTTAATCAGAATTTGATTAAGAAAAAAAATTTGCTGGAATTTAAAAACATGATTAAAATATTTTGGCGAGCGCTTAAAAAATCACAGTCATAGTATTGGCGAGTGTGTGGGCAAGTGCAAAACGTATCATTTATAAAAAAAAATCCCTTCCTTCTATGCTGTGAATGTTTTTAAGCATAAAATAGCAGGTTTATACTTGATAGAATTAGATTAAGAATTATGGTTGAGTTTTGAATTATGGTTTGAATAACTCTATTTAGTAAATTTAAAATACCAGGGTCATCATGAGTTAAGTGTATACCACGTTTTTCTTTGGTAAAGCATGCAAAATGTGGTTAGTCAAAGTAAAAAAACAGAGTGAAAAGACAATTCATGCAAAGTTTAGGTTTACATGGTAAAGATGTAAAAACGTAATATAGAAAACAAATATGTAAAAACTTAGTATAGAACACAAAGTTTACAGAGATTAAAAAATGCTGTTGTTGATTTTGGAATTAAAAGGTTATAATAATTTCTATATAACATTATTCTAAGATAATAATAATAGTAAATAGAAATTATAATGTTATATAAAAACTAAAATGTTGGATTGTATAATTATATCGCAATAAAAAATTTTTCAATTTTATTATATCGTACAAAAAAAAAGATGTTTTAGAAAAAGCTACCAGATTGGAGGATGGGGACAAACAAAAACCTAAAATTGAGACACTCAAGTTAAATTGTGGTAGATTTTTTTGTACTGTCTTAAACTAAATAAAATTTCACCAACAGGCTCCTTGGTTCATTAAAAATTACAAAAAGTACTTTGATAACTCGAAATTTTTTTACTTTTTTGTATTTAGTTTTAATATGTTTGTAAAATAGTAACAAATCTTGGATTAAAATAATGTTACAAGAAATGGTAACAAACTTTAAATTAAAAAATGATAACAAAAAATAGTAACAACCTTTGGATTAAAAGGTATCTAATTACAAACACTCATAGAGAATAAATGTTATACTTGCGCTACTTAATAAATTGGGGAGCACATATCACAAAGTAACAAAGATAAAGTAGAATGAAAATTATAAAACTTTTTAAAATAAACAACAAATGATAAAGTTTCTAAACGTAAAAAAAATTTTGGTACTTGATAATAGTCAACCAATACTGAATCAAATAACACATTTAGGTACTCACTGAAGAAAATAACACATTTAGGTAATCACTGAAGCAAATAATAAATTTAGGTACTCACTGAAGTAAATAACAAATTTAGGTACTCACTGAAGCAAGTAATATATTAAGGTACTCACTGAGGCAAGTAACACATTTAGGTACTCACTGAAGCAAGTAAGACATTTAGGTACTCACTAAAGCAAGTAACGCATTTAGGTACTCATTGTAGCAAGTAACACATTTAGGTACTCAGATAATAAAACATTTTAAATGTTTTATTATCTGAGTACCTAAATGTCTCCTATCTTTGCACAAAACTTTAAATATACGCTAGATGTTTTTGTGCACTATTTACTCATAGAAAAATTGCTGTGCCATCACAATGTGGTACATTACAAGTATATAGTATTGTGTATCCTTGAACTTCAGACTATGTTATTTGTTTAGAAAAAATGCAAGTGATTAGGAATTGATTAGGATATCCTAAACAGCCAACTAAATACTTAACAAAAAAGTAACCCTAAAGGCTATTCAAATTTTCATAATAAATACTTTTTATATTTTGTATAAACTTTAAAAATTAAAGTTAAAAAAAAATACAAAAAAAAACAAACAAAAAACATACAAAGCCTATAGATACACTTGACAACCAATTCAAGGATTTGTTATTCCCAAATGCTATTCCAAGCAACAAAACAACAACACTACAACCAAAAATACTAACAATACATAAAAACCATGCTATATACAAACACCAATGTGGTAGGTAAAATTCTTTCCTTGTTTTTACAATGTATGGTTTGTTTTGTTCAATATTAATACTTGTTTTCTTTCTAGTTGAATCTGCAATACAAGTAAAATTATTTTGTTCAAACAAAAAAACAAAACTATTCAAAAAATAAAAAGTACAGTGCTTACCTTTTTTGATTAAAGCCATGGGAGAAAATGATCCTTCGGGAGCATCATTGACATCATACCAATCTAATACTTCATTTGAGTTTTCTTTAACTATTTTTTCAAATGGTTTTATTGACCGAAAAAGTCCAACAAGTATAAGATTTACAGGGATAGTTATGCAGATACTAATTAATGCTACATAAACCTAAAATAAAAAAATAACTTTTTGTAAAAATAATACATATAAATTTTAAAAGCATGTATTAAAAGATTTTTAATTTAAATATCAATGATAATAAAATATCATGATAAAACAATAACATATAATTACTGTAAATTCTGATCAATTTATCCAAAACCAATATACTTTGTATACTTTAGGTTTTGCATAATTTTTTAAGGGGTATTTAAAAGTTTGAAAAATTTCAACTAAAGCAAGTAAACTTTATTACAAACCTGTTGCCATGTAAATGAAAAACTGCCAATTTTATTTTCAATGGCTGGAGTTGCTGGTGGAACTTGCCCATAAAATAACGCGCTAGCCATCATAGAAGTCATTAACAAAGAAACAGCAACAGATAACCTTTGGCATCTAGTAAAGTTACTTTTGGGTGGGCGAGCAAATATTGAAAACCATAAATGAGTATCCGAAAGATCATGAACTGCTTTGGTTGTGAAAATATAATTAAAATTTGAAGTTTCTTCAGGTGATGCTATTGGTATAACACAATCTAAGTGACACGAGCCACGATCAACAGCAATCCAACGATGACCAATAAAAAGGTATTGTTTTTCAGTTTGAAGATCAATAATAACTATGTTTCTAATGTTAATGTATATAGATATATTAAAAGCAAAATTAGTATAAATGTGTATATATGTATATATATATATATATATATATATATATATATATATATATATATATATATATATATATATATATATATGTGTATATATTTATGTGTATATATATGTATGTGTATATATATGTTTGTGTGTGTATATATATATATATATATATATATATATATATATATATATATTTAATAAAATATATATAAATATATATATTTTATTTCAATAAAATATATATATATATATTTTATTTCAATAAAATATATATATATTTTATTGTTATATATTTTATTGATAGCAACAACAACAACAATAATAATAATAATAATAACAATAGGAATGATAAGAAAACAGCTACAATAAATATATGATATCTATAATTAGGGTCTAAATTGGTGCTGAACATGCGTCCCTAACCCATCTTTATTAGCCGCCTGAGGCAGACAACCAACTATTGCTCATTTTTTCTAACAAAATTAAAAGTGGTTGGTTGCCTTCACTTGCGGGTTTTAGTAATGTTCAGTTGGACATTGCCACTTGTTTTGTCCCCTGTAATAATAATATTACTGTAATCAAAAATCAAAATTACATATTGAAATGATTTTTTTATGCAATATTACATATTGCATAAAATAAGTTATTATATTAGAAATAATAAATATTGGTTATAAATTAATATATTAGCTGGGGATTTCCATTTTTGTTCCTGTTTTTATATTTAAAAGCTGAGACTTGAAGCAGTATACATACTAATATGATTATCATAAAGAACAATTATGACAAAAATATTTTTATCATTTTTTAGGCTAGGAATTGTTCATAAATTATATAACGCAAAACTTATTTTAAAAATGTAAGTAGAAGACCATTTTGCTATTTTGCAAAGTGGTTTTCACTGGACTTGAAAGTTGTTTATATACTTGGTTTAATTAAAGATCTGCAAAGGAAAGCTTTTAATTCTTTGTCTTTTGATGTGAGTGAGTGAGTGATTTCCGTGTGTGACCATTCATGAACTGAATTTAAATAATTGTGCATGGTTTTTTAGAAATACCTGTTGGGTGCATGGCTTGGTACCATAATTTATAAAAATTATTTTTCAAAGCGCGTACTCATATTCTTAAGAAAATTTTAATTTGAGTTTCCTTTTAGTTTTTTTGATTTGAAAGCATTTTGGTAGCACAATTGAAACTTTTAGATATGCAATATATTATTAATTATAACATTTTTAATTTTTTTAGAAAAGTGTAAACTCTAAATCATTTTATATTCATACTTATGTCAAATAACGTTGTTTTTTCAGCAACTAATTAAATGGTTTTTTAATCAAAAAATCACTCGACCTCGCCCACCTTTGAACAAATGAATTTATGTTATTGTTCCTAATGTAGAGGAATGGTTTTTAAATCAAAAACTCATTCGACCTCTCCCACCTTTGAACAAATGAATTTATGTTATTGTTCCTAATGTAGGGGAATGGTTTTTTAATCAAAAAATCAATTAACCTCATATTTTTAAATTTGCATAAAGATTTAAAATTATTAAAAAAAATTTTTTGTAAAATATTTTGTTAAAAATATACTTCTCATTTGAAGTGGTTCTAAGTTTTACAGGTTTAAGTTTTAAATAATAAATTAAATACAAAATATTCAATTTTCTTTTATTTCTTAATCACATTATTTCATACATTCATTTCATCTTTATTTGATTTAAAGGTGGGAAGTTCTTCCCTATGTATCATTCTTGTTCTAACAAATCTACCTCTGCTTTCTTGATCATAAACAATGGCATATGCTTCCGCCACGCTTTTGAGGCAATGTTCTGTTGCTTGAGTGTGAATGCTGAATTTAGGAATTTATAATGGATTTTCAAAACACTTGGAGATTTCTGCTTTAAAAAGATTACATATAAATAATGGTTCATAGCAATCTTTTAAATTCCATAAAAATTAAATCTGGAAGATTAGTAGCATCAAGGTTAATCTTTGGAGATATTCTTTTTCTAACAGCAGTGTCTCCAAGCTCATTATTTCATCTAATTTGTAAAATTTTATCAACACCACACTTTGCTTTAATTTCCATAGAGCTAGCCAAGAGTGAAACCAGGATAGACTCACTATGGCTGTACCAAATGTCAGTTTGTATATATAGTGTGATAATATTCACCACATTGACTGGGAAGAACTTTAAGTTCAAGCAAAATGTGTCTTGGTTTGTTCTCCAGCAGATATTCAGTAGAAATTTTTAAAATAAAGTTAAAAATACATTTTGACACAAAACTCAACTAACATCATAAAGATCTCCAGCTCACTGTATTTAAGGTTATGATTTCTTGTCCACAAAAACATCAAAGCCATACCTGTTGTAAGCCAGCAAGAATAAGATAGTGATCCACATTTGAGATTTGCAAGATCAGGATAAAGTTTTCTTGACTTGATAACATTTACAAATCTATAACTGATATCAGCATCAGTAAATAAGTTTTTTATGCCTTTCTCATTAAGTTTCGAAAGTTCCTCTTTAACTGACAGGGGTGTAAAATTTTAATTTATTGTCATATCATTTACATACTTAAGATTTTTGCAAACTAATCCTGTAAATCCATCCTTGGTATTTGTCGGACCATCAAGTGGTATAATTAAACACCTTAGCTTGAGTTCATTTGTATGTTTCATGCAAATCTCCCTATAGCATTTATGCTCTATTATTTTATCAAGATGCGCATGAAAACCCCCTGACCTTATGATGTTGGTATTAGTTAAATCTCCACCTATTACTATGCATGATTTAGTAACATTGTTTTTTTGAAGCACCTTATAGAGTGCTTCAGGTAACTTTTTTGCAGGTTTTTCCGGATGAATGGCAAGTTCTGGCATGATGTGAGCAAGATAACACCCAGTTGGCTTTCAAGTTACATATATGCTCCTCTTTTATGACTTTAGAGTGAGGTTTTCCATATTTATCAGGAATTAAAGTTTTGGTCTAGTCTTTTCCTCCATCATATGCAATTCTAATTACATTTTTGTTACTACATTTACAATACATTACAAATTTGTTCACATTTTTGTTTTTTATTTTATTATATTTATTTTGTTCATGTTTTTTATTTAATTTTTATTCAATTTTTTTTTATTTTGTGTAATGTATTACAGAAAACGGCACTTGTTGGCTTCAATAATTGTATTTTCTTTTATTACATTATTCTTAACCCTTCATATTTTGTTTGGGTCAATAGAAAGGTATGACATATCAGGAGAAAAATAACCTGCAGCTATAAAATCTTTTATTATACCAGTAACTATAGCTGTTGCACTAACATTAGAAATATTGTATCTTATTGCAGCTGATGCCACATGTGCTATGGTCAATTTGTTTTGTTTTAGACTTTTTCTAAGTATCTTATAACCAGTGACCAACCTAGGTTTTTCTAAGTATCCTGTAACCAGTGATGCTAATCTTCCAAGTTTTTCTTCAAGCAACTTGTCAACCAAAGTTTTTGTTTTGTTCTTTAGTTGTGGAGTATTTATATTGTATGTATCATTGCTGTCATTTTTTTCCAGCAGATCTAGAACTAGTTATTATTACTTAACTATATATTATCACTCACCAATATTGGTAAGCAACAACATACACAATAGAATATAAAAATTCTAAATTCAAAAAAGTTTAATATATATATTGAACATTAAAAAGTTAGTTATAAAGTCTATTTTAGATTGCGGTAAGAAATATTTTAAAACAAAAATTCCATTCATTCATTGTAATTTAGTTAACCTAAAATTTATCAAACTTATTTTTTCTTTCATGTTCTTTTTTTTTTCCTTTTTCTTTCAGCTTCTTCCTGAATGTTTTTTTTTTCTTCTCTACTCTGTAGGCGAATCGATTCTTTATAATCACAAAAACCAATTTGCATAGTAGAAATCTCTTTCTTTTTAAGCCTCTGATTACAAAGCAAGAGAAGATCAAGTACAGAAGCTTTTTTATAATAGTGGACATGAGAAATAAACATGTGCACCTATCTTGCAGTTTTTGAGATCATAGAAAAATGATGCTGCCTCTGAAAAATGATATTGCCTATATATATGCATATATTGATTGTATGAGTACATACTAAGATATCGAAGAGTATATGAAGACCATTAATTATTTTAATGGTTGCTTCTTTGGATGAATTTGCATTTTTCAAAAACTTGGATATTTTATTCCATTGTCTCTCCACAAGTTTTTACGTCAGTGATTTTTACAAAATCCCAACAGGTGGTTTAAAATGACTGTTTGCTTTGAACCATTAAGCTGTCGCCAGTCACTAATAAAATTATTTTTCTACATTCCTTTTCTTTTCTAAAATGTAGATATAGCTTTAGTTATTTTTTACAAATAATTTATATAAAGTGAATATATACTTTTAATATAATCACTTTAGAAAATATTTCAAAAGTTCTAAAAAAATTAATTAAAAGCTAACCTTTAGAAAAATCCCCATTTAATTAACTGATATTTTTGTGGGTACCTCTGACAAAACAAACTGTTTACCTTTTTCAACAAAATTAGATATTTTAGTTGCTAAATTATGTCTAGTTTTCATATTAGATGTATAATCACTAATTGTTAGTACTTTTATTAAAAATAAAAAAATATACATTATTAAAAAGTAAGTCTTGGGTATATAAACTGAATAAAATTCTGCTTCTTTGGTTTCTTTGTTTCGAATATATCTTTCCTTAACAAAAGCAACATGTATTTAACAAAAGCAACATGTATTTAGACTAATTAACAATATTAATTCAAATAATAGCTAAGATAATAATAACTAGTTAATTTTATCACATAAGTGATTTATATAATATGCATACTCACTGAGTATGAATAATATGAAAGCATTATAAAAACAAACTTTATAATAATTTGATAACCAGTATTAATTTTACAATGTGAGTATTACTCACCTTAAGAATTATACTGTCATTAAAACACATTCTCAAAAAGTGAGTAATTTTATGTTGTTATTTTAAAGTATGCAAACTGATCTAGGATATACATTCAGTAGGTGAGATAATATCAGATAATATGTTAATATGGGAAATAATATTTTTTATAAGTTTTGTTGATGTTCTTGTTTTTGTTGAGGTTGTTGGTTGTTGGTATATTTTTATGTTTAATACCTTAATTTTGACTTTTTATTCTGAAAATATTAACTTTGTACCATACTCAATAAGTCAAGCACAGTATGACAAGAGATGTGGCAAGGTCAAATTACTAAGAGATGTGGTAAGGTCAAACTTATTTAATTCCAAAAAACCTTTTAATGTTTTGTTTGGTTTGGTTAACAAGCTCTTTGAATGCTTAATGACTGAACATAGGTAAACACTTAAAAAGTTATTTAAAGTATAAATCTTAAATCTTATCAAACAAAAAAATGTTAAAACCCATAATGTCAAAGTCTTCATGTAAAATCTCTGTACTATTTCGTATTATATTCATTATTATACTTTTTATTTTTTTTATTTTCATATAAAACTAAATATTGCAATTAAGAATTGTGCCAGATGAATGAAGTAGTGTTAAACATGATACATTTATTCTAACAGTGCTCATGAGGGACTTAAATTTAAACTTTAATGCATCACTGATCATCAAACAAAAACAAAAGAGCCAAGTATTGTTATTAAAAATCTTTGATAAAAAAAGTGGGAGAGGTAATTAAAAAAACATATCCAAATCACACCTAGATGACATCAAACACAAGATTTTACAATACACATGAACCAGATTTAAATTCAATGTAATTATGTAAATTCAATTTAAATTATGTTGTATTCAAATATAAAAAATATTCATTATTCTTATTTTTCATTAAAAAAAACAACTGTTTTGATTAAAATTTGCATTTTAAAACTTAAAGACTGCAAAACTTATTAGGCCATCATAAACTTACAAAAAAAAGTAAAATTAAAGTTTGAAGCTAGATCTTTTTTATAAAAAAAAAAAAATTCTATATACACAAAAAATGAACAAATCTAAAGCAAAGCATATTTTTTATTTCTATAATTACCTTAGGTACCAACCTCCACCACTATTATCATGCCATAGCCGAATGAAATCAAGTTCACCAAGAGAAGCATTTGTAGTCATTATAAATACATCACAGCTTGATCGTTGAAAACATACTCTCTCTGAATCTTTTAAACGTCTAATTCCACTGTCATTTTTGTCACCTAATAATGTATGTTATACATAAATATATATAAAAATATATATAAATATATATAAAATATATATAAATATATATAAAATGTATATAAAATATATATAAAATATATATAAATATATATAAAATATATATAAATATATATAAAATGTATATAAAATATATATAAAATATATATAAAATATATATAAAATATATATAAAATATATATAAATATAAATACAGTGGGTGCTCATATTATTAGAAACACTGTCTTTTTTTTGAAAATTATGTGTTAAAGGTTATTTATTATAGAAATAAAAAGGTTGCAGACTATTTTTTCGTAACTTTTGAGTGTTGCGGTCTATACTTATCATAAAAAACATACTTATTTATATTTTTTTAAAAA